TCTAAGGTAAAAACCCAGCGCATACAGTGTTCATGTTTTTTGTTTTTTCATCCAGATGGCTTCCCGCGCCCCCCTGCAATGAGACGGCGCCCCCCCTAGGGGGCGCGCCCCACAGTTTGGGAACCTCTGCCTTAGAGGAACAGCCACACATATTTATAATAGTCATGTATTGTAATAAATAGGTGCACATTATCAAAATATGTAGAAATAAAAGGCTCACAGTCTCAGACTTAAGTCTTTTTTTCATTTATCTTTGAGTAACTTAAAAACAAATACAAATCCATACTGTGCTGTAATATTTGAGTCCTCTCTTCTCCAAACAATCAGGGCTGCTTCAATGGGGGTTGAGAATGTCATACAATTTGGGGGAACTCTTTCGCTTTTGTTCCAGTTTACCTTTGTTCCAAAAAAAAAAAAAGCTACCAAACTGATTTTGTTTTGTTTTCTATTGCCTCCTGTTTTTATGTTATGTATCACGCTTCGTTTTAACCTGGAAGTACATGAAAACTGTACGTACAGAGTGGCTGAAAAATATTATTTCAATCTTCTCTGCATTTTGTAGCAGGCTCTTCTTTGTGACTGGTCACTTTTTCCTTCTGAAATACAAACATAAGCAATATGTAAGCCCGCTTCTTACCCTCTGTGCTCATGTCAGGTGTTGGTAGCCACACATACACAATGCCACAGTCTTTGTACAAATGCATTAAGGCATCGGGGCTCATGGCTTCCTCGTGGTTACGTCTGCATCCGCTGGAGTTGTTCACTACGTCCCACTCTGTCTGGAAGTTCACCACGGCGGTGATGCCCAGTTCGTGCTTCATCTTTATGGTCACGTGCTCCACCTGTCGAGGGCAGCTTCCCAGCCAGACACGTGGCAGAACTCTACGATCGCCAGACAAGGACAGATTTATAATTCTTGTCGATTAAATTTTTATGTGAGAGAGTAACAGAAATATATTTGTTCAGTTAAGCCAAAAATCTTTAAGTTAGCTACAGCTTTAGGAAACAAATTAGACATTTCAAACTGCTAATGAGCTGCAGGCTTCGCCTTTATTTTCTGTCTCTCAACATTCTCTTGTTCTCCGTCACAGCTCTGATGTTTTCTTGACTCGTGTCCCTATTTTTTTTTTTTTTTTTCCTGGTCCCCATAGCCTGGGGCAGACTCTGTTGAGTGACCATTAGTATGCACAAAGTCAACAAGCAGAGGAGGTGACACGTGAAAGACAGGACGGACACTGTTAATATGTGACGTCTCATTGTAGCACTTTGGTCTCGGGTTGTTCTCATCGGGTGAACTGATGTTTTTGGAGTTTAATTCTTTCAAAAAATAATCGCACAAAATAGCAGCTATTTTTAAAATTTAGCTTTTTTCCCATAAACAAAAAGAAACTAAAATCTACATAATCAATAGGCCTCCACTTTTTCTACTTATGAGCAAGGCAGGTTAGTTATGAAATAAGAAAATCTCTTTGAATATATTGCTGACTTTCCACGGAGTGTGTGTGTGTGTGAGTCTTGGGGCTGTACGGATGCACAGTTGGAGAGACTAAATTAGAAAGCTATTAATAGGCGAGTTACAAATTCACCGTGCTTCCTCCTGAACACCGGCCCTTGACATAAGACTTGTAAGGTCTTTTAGGCACAAATTAAAACCCGATGGCACAAGCAAGCCCAGCTCATTCTTATGCAAGTAAAGCACTCACAGCTTCAGGGATGTTTTTGTGCCTGCAGTAGCGTGGCACTGACTCTGCGCTCTACAAAGACTTGACATGTATGAATCTAAGATAAAGATTTTTATGATCATACAAAGCAGTTCTTTCTATTTTTTTTTTTACATTTTTTTAATCAAAGCCAACGCCAGCTTCACTTGTTGCTCAGAACATGACATTTACTGTCTGTCGCTCCCACTGATGCTGCAGCAGTCAACCAAAGTTCATGTCTTCTCATAGATGAAGGCATGGCAGGAGAATCAAAGGACAGAACAGCAGTGGGGGGGAAAAAAAAAAAAAAGACCAAACATGGTGGTGAACCTTTTTATACAGATGAAGGAGCACAGCACAGAGTCACTTTTTGCTAAATAACACAGCCAATAATATATTTAATGTGAAATTAACAGGGAAACTGTTTTCACTAGTACATATTTTTGTCTGTTCAATAAAGCCGCAGTTTTGAATGCAAGCAGAGTTGCACCTTGACTTAACGTCAATCCTGTAATAATTATGTTTTAATATGTGGATTTTGAAGAAACATAATATTTAGATGCCACCATCAGCAAATAAGTACAAATGAATCTTACAGGTCCACAATAATAAAGAAAAAATCTAAACAAGAAACCACTGCTCTGAACTATTTCCTTGCACACAGGAACAGGATAATGATTAAACCAACTCAGTTTGGTTTTGAACATTTTCTTTTACAAATCCAAGGTAAAGAGAAGAATCCTGTGCTGAAGAAATAATGTTAGCATGCCGGATAAAGGCATTGGTTGTATTAGATTCTACTTTGGGGTATTTGAGAAAGGATGCCATTTGCAAATGCACAGAGAATTATGCACAGCTAATTGTTCTTTAGCTTTACAATTATGCACAAGTTTATATTTATCAAACTATCGTGTTAACAAAGCGGTCAGTGGCAGTAGCGTGTCAAAATATGAAAAAGTTTGTAGTGTATGAATACTTTTTATAGGTATGTTATATAAGACAAAAGTAAAATAAAAAGAAAAAAGAAAACAAAAATGGTTAATATTGTGAATATCGTTGCATTCAGACAGGCCAGGTTTTGTTAGTATACCTCCATGGTAGAGGTGAGCTCAACTTCATGTTGAGAGTCTACAACATGAAGGAAAGACTGGAAATAGAAATAAGATATTTTTTCCTGCCTCTTCCATCAAGAATATAGACAGTTGTGGTGTCGTAAGGTACCGAGGAAGAACATTTTGACAGAAGAAATTCAACTTAGAGGCAGAATATATATTTATTCAAAACCTTTTTTCTTTCTTTTTTTTTTTTAAAGAAAGACAGCATATGTCAAAAAGTGTGTTTAGGCCTGATGCAATCCTCCAGGCTGTTCAAGAAACAGTCACTGTTTAGATTTCTAGAGGCCAAATGTTAAAGGCACACACAACAATAGTATTTACATATCAGGACAGCTCCAAGTGAGGATATTCTGCCTCTTCTTATTTTCTTTTTTATACTGTAAAAGAAAATAAAGCACCTCCAGCTCCTAGAGAATTGGATTTATTGTTTTGTGCAGAAAAGCTGGATTCTTTTCATTTTGGCATTTTGGAAGTTGATTGATGAAAATGACATGCAAATAACTAAACATGACAAATAAAAAATCATAAAAATGAAATATATATATATATATCATGAAGACAAAGACTGGAGAGGCGCTGCAGTAAACGGTTGCCTGGGTTCTTCAGTCAACGCTTTATGGGAGAGTGGCAATGAGAAAACTACTGTTGAAGAAAACTCGTATCAAGGCTTGACTACTGTTTGAAAAAAGGCATGACTCAATGGTCGAGTGGAAGAAAAGTTTTCGGTCTGATGAGAAATGAAAAGGGCTGTGGACAGTCGATCTCCAGGCCACCCGACAAGAGTTTGAACAGTTTTTCAAAGAAGAATTGAGTAAAATTGCATTTTCTAGATGTGAAAGCACAAACTAAGACATGTCTGCACAGATTCCATTCTGTGATTGCAGCCAAAGGTACAGCTACTTTACAAATACCAATTTGTAATCACTTATTTTATGTAAAATATTTTGTCATTATTTTGGAAAAGTCAGTTTTCATTTACATTTGTTGTACCTGTTTGTTAAAAATGTTGTCCTTCATGATTTATGAAGAAATAAAAAGGGTGAAACAACCACTGGGGGTGAGGATTACTTTTTATAGGCGACGTCTGTCAAATTATACAGTTACCTGGAGAAATGTATGGCCTTCTGACCTGCAACCTTAAAGTAGAAATTGGTGGTGTGCTTCATCTCATCAGTGTGTCCCGTTTCCTCTATCCAGTGACCAATGGGGTGGCAGTACACTCCGTTCACCACATTTCTCTCATCATATAAACAATGCCTGTCATGACTTGGTCCGCTACCTATGGACAAAGAAGACCACAGGTTTTTTATTTTTATTAAAGGACATTTATATTTCAATTATCTGATGGTGCATCCAATCAAACACCAGTCACTCTGTCGACCTATTCCATTGAAAAGAAAAACACATATATCCAATAATTGGACGTAGTATGAGTTTTGATGCATTTCTGTAGGTTTTTATTTGTAAAAAAGTCAAAGCTTACACAAATTTATTTGACTAAAACAATTGGGAGTCTTGATACCAACCACAAGCACTTCTTATTTTGCTGACAACTGATAGTCATGAAGCCAAAAATTGAAAGATGTTCTGAACAACTCCTCAATAAATAAACACACAGGTTCAAGGAATAAATCAAATAAATAAATTAATTCCTTTATTTAAGAATATCAATATTTTCAGCAGTGCTTGGAAATATTATTTTAGCTTTAATAGGAAAAAGATACTAGATACTATTCGTGTGTGTTAAATAATACATTTTGAAATTATCCAAGGCACTTTGCTGCCACCATGTGGCTGTAAGTATGTATTACATCACATGCATCACTAGTGCAGACATGGCGACGTACTTATTTTCTCTCTATGCTAAGATGATATGACATTAGTTTCAGTCCTTTCGGTGTCTTGTGTTGCTGCATCTTTGTAAATCGTTGCGTACCTTCCCAGATAAAGGTGTCCCGGGCCTTTTTGATAAACTTGAACCACAGAGAGTCTTTGAACGGCTCGGCCAGCTCCACTTCGCCCGTCCACAGACACGGTTCATCTGGTGACGGCAGCTTCTGCGAAGCCTTCATCCGAACCGCCCCGTTCGGGTCCCAGTGACCCATTTCCTCACGCGAACCCAGAACTAAAACCTCCACGTCCGAGGACTCCGGAGTCAGAATGACACCGAATCTGAACAACATGTTCGCAGGTGTAGCTAAACGTCTCTAAATCATGTCCTCAGTTTGAAAAGCGTCCAGTTTGGTACTAACAACAGGAGTGTTGTTGCTGTTCTGTAAATCCGTGAGGGACGCAGACTGTGGACTGTGATCTTAAAATAGTCAGGCCCTGTGATGGTACGTTTGGCATCAAAGATATGGTATAGATACAGAGGGTTCACTCCCTCAGAATCCCGAGGAACCAATCATGGGCCACATCACTTAATGTAAGTCGAGCTCGCAGAGAAAAAAAGAAATAAACGAAGAAAGCAGCTCTTGCATACTATGCATTCCTCAGACTGTACATCAAGTTAGTTTTTTTTTAAACCTCGGATACTTATCTAAGAGTTTGAAATGTCTTTGTCTTTTTCTGCTTTGATATTTATCAGACTCTGTAGATCCTAATCAGCATGACTCTGTCCCAGCTTTGCTCTCCAGAAAGCAGGCCTGCAATACATTTTTAATAAATGCCAACTTTAAATAAATAAAGCACCCATAGTTAGAAGAAGCTTTTGAGGAACACTATTTCCTTGGCTCTGAAATTTTTTTCTTTACATTTTTGTGTAAGTTTAAGCAATTAAAAAAAAAACAACACTGTTCAAACTAGGTTAATTGGTTCATTCCTTGAGTTTTGTGCTTGTTTTGGGCTAATAAAACCCCAAAACTCAGTTTCTCAGAAATTTTTTTATCAAATAAGACAAATAAAAATAGATTTTTAATACAAAAATGTGGGCCTCGTAAAAGTATTCTCAACTATTGCATAGCATATGGATTAAATATTTGGATATGGCTCCTTTTGCATGAATTACTAGATCAATAGTTGAAACTCCACTGAGCCATCTGAGTTTGTCAGCTAATCAAACACAGCGATATGATGATCGTTAAAGTTATTGGTACTTTTGTCATTCTGGGCAGCTCTCAAGTCCTGCTGGAAGTGCAATTAGAAGGTTGACAATGCTTCTCTGTAAAGTGAAGCATTGGGGTCCTGCAAAAAATAAAAGATACTTGGTAAACAGTTGCACCAGCTTTGCACAGAAGTGACTTTTGAAAATTTTTAAGTGATAAATCTGGCTTTGGGCAGAAATTTGGCAAGAGACGTGAAAGATTCATTTTCCCTTTGAGACCAACTACACAGCTTATAGCTATGAATGAGTCGAAGCAGTCTGGCTTCCACCAGGTAAACCTTACTAAACATGTTGCTTGTCCAGTAGAACACGCCTCTTTCACATTCCTCCATGATCTATTCAAGGCAAAGGTGCAGAGCCGCATTTTTGAATTAGTCTTGAGGCAATACAACCTGCTGTTGCTGATTTAAGAAAGACAGGTAGTGTTTCTTGAGGAGAATTATCATTCAGATTAAGAAACTTAATATACTTTCATTTAGACGTTTGAGTTCACAGTTTTGTTTCTCTTCTGGACAGCTGCCTCGAAGAAACAATGGCTGAATACAAACTGGAAGTGACAACTGGTAACATGAAGCATGCAGGGACAACAGACAACATCTATGTCATCTTGTTTGGGTCAGAAGGGCAAAGTGAGCGCACAAAGTTGGACAATTCTGGGATCGACTTTAAAGCTGGGAAGGCAAGTTGCACTCTGTTAAGCGTGGTTTATGATTTTTAAACAGGTTACTCTGGTTTTTCAAACAATGGGCCACTGCTCTTGTGACGCTTATGTTTTCCTTTCTTTGTACGATTGTCATTTTATACACCTTTCTTTCTTTTACCTTTAATAGGTTAATATAATTGGAAACTGATACTTTTTAGGGGTGTGAACTATTACAGAACAGAGTGAAGAAAATAAGTATTTAATCCCCTGATTGTCACATCTTAATCACTTACAGTCTTTAATGTTTTAGTTTCATTTACAGTAACAGAATGTCTCTACACATCCAGAAAGAAATCCAGCACATAATAGTTAGAACATCCTTTAAATAGTGAGAAAGATAAGTATAGTTGTTAAAACAAGTATTGATCACAATAATGATTTTCTCAGGAAATATAGTTGTAATAATGTTTCTACAAACAAGACATTTAAACCAGCTGTTGGGAACAATTAAAGTAATCCACATGTACGTGAAAACCAGAGCAAATTACCTCTCACATAAAAATAAATAAGGTCTTGACAACAGAGGCTCAAATACTTATTTCCCCACAATAAATGTAATACTTTAGTGTAACTGCATTGGCTCAATACATTGATTTTTTTTTTCTTTTTTTCTCAGACAAGGACATACACAGTCAAACCTGCCTCATCTCTGGGGAAACTTCTGTTCATAAAGGTGGAAAAAGATCCTTTTTTCATCACCCCAGAAAACGAGTGGTACTGCTCCAAAATCGTAGTGACGGCTCCGGAAGGGGACGCGATCGTTTTCCCCTGCTACAGATGGATTTCCAGAGGTGAACTTGTGGAGCTCAGAGGAGGAAAAGGTCTGATTCAAATGTAACCTATTTTAAATCATACCACTACATAATAGAACTTGTACTTTTCCTGTAAAGGATACTTTCCAGAACTTACAAAGTATTTTTGGGAACTATAATGGAAAGTACTGGTTATTTTCCTGTAAACTTTGCAGGATTCTTTGAGGCATGTTCTATATTTAAAAAAAATAGATGAAGTGTGTTGTCTAAGTTTAGCAAAAGTGGTCATAAAACTGTATCATTACTTTACTGGAATTTATCTATGACAGTTCCACAAAATGGGCTTTGGAAAAGTTTCTAGAAAGCAAAGTCTGAAAAGCTCTGGAGAAGCACCTGGTTAATTCTGGGAAAGTACCAGGTTAGTTCAGGGAAATTAATCAACAAGTTTTATAAAAGTTTTTGTAGGTGCTAGGAAGTTATGGGTAAGTAGGAAGTATGGCATGTTCAAAGAAAGTAAAAAGTTAATTCCATAAAACTTCCAAGAATCTACAGATTCTAAAAATAATCTTTGAAGTACAGTGCCACCAAATAAATTTTAAATAACTGATGCTAAATTAATAATAATTAATTTGAATGTATTTGTTTTTAAATCTGGAAGCCATGACAGCTTTTGAGGAGGAACATTCCCTGCTGACTGATCTTCGAAAAAGAGAACTAGAACTTAAAAAGAGTTTGTACAAGTAAGTTTCCATTACGCTTTGTCAGAGGAGCTGGTCTGAACAATATTTAAAACTTATTTTTCTGTCTCAGGTGGGAGATTACTGATGAGAAGTTGCCGCACTCCAGTCACTTTAAAGACATATCTGAGCTCCCTGCAGAAATTCGCTTCTCTTTGTCCAAATCAGAACAGGTTCAATATACAAAAAAAATGATGTGAGTAAAATATTACAACATCAACATCACAATCTCCTTCTGTTTTTTAAACCGATATGTCTGCACTGTTTTGTGCACATTTGTTTCAGCGGCTCTGAACTGAAATTTAAAGGGCTGGCTGAATCCCACAAAAAATGGAAAGACATCGATGACATGAAAAACATCTTCTGGTCCAAAAAGACAACACTATCAGGTATGCCATGCCATTTCAGTAAAAATGACATGGTTTTTAATGATTTGTACATTTCTCCTGTCTGATATCTTTAAACAAGAAATTAATTCATCCTTCACACCGAAGTGCTTGCTTGCAAACAACGTAAATTTGCAAATGCTGAGAAAATCTTGCTGAGACATTCAAACTTTGTTTTGTATGTCCAGTCCATACTGGACATACAATATATATATAAAGCTTAATCAGATTCATTATGACTTATGTAAGGTGTATGTCCAAGAACAGAAAATATACATACATATGTGCAGAGCACAGCTAACAGAGATCAAAAGACTAATCATTCTTCATGCGCTAATTTGGACATTTAGGAAATCACTAAAACACATGTGTCAAACTCAAGGCCCGCCAGCCTTTTATAGGCTGATTGACTTAAAATTGGTTTTGAGCACGAATTGATTACAAACTACAT